ATGCCCAGCACTGCCGCAGACGGCTAGAAATGACTGTTCCTGTCCAGCTGTAATCTTGTGTCCCGTGACCAGTCCCCGCCCTCTGGTAGGCACATTTTGCCCTCTCCTTGTGCGGCGCGGCTCTCCTGGCTCCCACGCTCACTGGCAACGTGCAGGACGTGTCCCTCTGTGCCCAGCTCACTTCACTTAACACAACGCCCCAGCCTCTTCCACACTGCCGCAAGTGACGGGATTTCATTCTGTTTCAAGCCAAGCGGTTTCTAAGTCAAAGATTTCAACCAAATTGAAGGAGAACCAATAGGATTTCCCACTAACAGGTCATTTAAAATAGTTTTGTTCCTCATTATGGTAGTGAGGAAGAAAAATAAACAGATAGTTTTGTGAAAAGCTCATGGACTGACGGTGGCCCAGGCCTGGGAGGAGGTTCAGTCCTCCCCCTCCCTCCTCTTCCCGGTGGGAACAGGGTCTCCCTGCGCTGACACGGGTGCCTACGGCTGCCAGCGGGAACCATCAGTGAATGCAGAACTGATTAGGTGGTTTCCTTTAAAGCCGTGATAGATTAAAGAATGTATTTTTGGTAGAGTTTTTTTGTGTGTTTTTTTTAAAGATGACCGGTAAGGGGATCTTACCCCTTGACTTGGTGTTGTCAGCACCACGCTCAGCCAGTGAGCAAACCGGCCATCCCTATATGGGATCCGAACCCGTGGCCTTGGTGTTGGTCAGTACCGCACTCTCCTGAGTGAGCCACGGGCCGGCCCTTCTGTGGTAGAGTTTTAGTTTTAATTCTGGGTTTTGATCAATTCTGCAGTAATAATAGGTAAGTCAATCCTATTACTCACAGACATAAATCTTTAATATTTATATCTGTATTTTGTTGCACAGCACAACTCTGATCAGTAAGTGGCATTTAAGCACAAAGCCTGTGACTGGCAGGCGGTCTGGGGAGGAGGCGGGGGCACAGGGAGGGATGCACGTTTCTGTGCAGGTGTCTACACAGAGAGTGGCGTTCAGTTACGGCCACAGTTAGAGTCCAGTGGTACATTTACAGTACGGATGCAAAAGTTTTATTTTATTTTATTTTTTATTTTTTTTAAATTTTTTTTTTTGTCTTTTGTCTTTTTCCGTGTCCAGCAACGGATCGCAACCCTCAGTGTTGCCCCCGTACCGGACCGGGGACCGGCAACGGGATTGCAACCCTCGGTGCTGCTCCCGCGCCTCGCTCAGCCAGTGAGCGGGAACCGGTCTGTATGTGGGATCCGAACCCTCGGGCAGGAGCACCGCCGTGCTTCCCAAGCGGCGCACTTATCCAGTGCGCCACCAGGCCGGCCCCCAAAAGTTTTATTTTAAAACATCAATATTTTCAGTAGCAGAAAATCAAATCCGTTGCTTAACTTTATAATGAAAAATTTCAGACACCGATGTAAATATGTGAAAGGGTTGCAGTTTCTCAAACGCCTCCTGAGGGAAGGTGGACACAGAAGGTCTCTGACCTGCACAGTGGTTCTCGGCAGACCTGTCTCCCAGGAAGCTATGGAATGCAGCAGCCCAGCCCAGGAGCTAACGAGACCTCCGGGTGACTCTGATGCACACAGAGTCTGGGAACCACTGGCCTCCAGCATGCCAAGACCAGGACATCTATGTCTGCCTCTCCCTCAGTCGACTTCCAGCTACCTGCAGGGCCACCAGACTGCCCACGTTAGAGTATCCACGACTACAGAGTTACTCGGGGACAGAAGAACAAGATCTGACCAGCTCTCAGTTGGTGCAGAAGTAACTAACAGGCCGAGGTGGAAGGTGCTCCAAACTGGCCAATGTGAATTTCTCCCTGTGTCTGCAGGCTGGTGTGTGCTGGCTGTTTATTACCCAGACACAAAAGACAAAGGAGGTTCTTCATCCTCCCCAGAAAAGCTTCCAGACCTTGTTCTTCCACTGCATTTGGGGAGGGGCAGGGTGGGGACACGAACCACCGTGAGAGGCCAATGCAGCTCTCACGAGTCTCCATTCCACAACATTCAGTAAGGTGCGAAGGTCAACACAATTAAGTCTCCCGATCCCCACCCTTTGCAGAGGCAGTACCTCGTGGGCAGAGAGTGCCAGTTCTGGTCGGTGACTTCTGGCTCTCCTGCTTGAGGTCCTCCAGGTGCCAGGACTGCCCAGGGTGGCATCATGGTGGCCACACTAGGCAGTAGGTACTCCTCATGCCTGCGCCAGGCCCCACTGCTAAGACATATCTGAGAAACACCAGCTCCAAGGACGCTCCTGAGTTGACTCGACAGATGGCCGGGACCCCCACCCAACACAGCACAGGGTGAAGACAAACACCTGCTGCTAGGAAGGAGGTCCTGCGCCCGCGTCTGTGTCAGGGCATCCCAGGAGCTCACGCACACGGGTCTGCACAGGGCTTTCACCATCAGAAACACTCCAGCAAAAGCAGCACTCCCGTGGGAGAAGAGCACCGTCAACAGACAAGTCAGGCACGACCCGGCAGCACGCAGCAGCTCTCCTGCCCGGGTCCCAGCGTGCTTCGCAGCCAGACATCCACACAGGGCAAGAGTTCTCTCTCTCCAGGGGTCAGAAGCCCTCGCCTCTTCTCAAATGGCTCCCCTGTGGGAATCCCGGGACAGCTGACTCCCGCCCTGTCTCCCAGTCCGCCCACAGCACCGTGAGATTTCCTACAACTCAGAAATGCAAATCCTTCCTCAGACAGAAAA